GGGATGCTGCCTGTGAGGCTGCCAGAAAAAGGGAAACATTAGAATGAACTGGAACAATATGTGCACGGGGCTTTCTGCATGTCGATGGTCTACCTATCGATCCAGGCCAGCAGTCTCCGAACTGCTGGCTACTACCTGTTCCCAGTTCCTGCTTCTTGTAGCCAAAAACGACTGACAAACACTCTGTTGTACAGCGGGACAAAAGGCATCACACCAGGGATGAATGAAGTCGGACGGAGGGAGGGAGGGCAGGTTTGAAGAGGATGTCAAGTCCTGTGCTCGGACCTAGCCCTTAGCAGAACCCCAAGCAACATCCTTCTGAGCGAAGCGCCAGTGGCAGCGGCTCCATCTCCCAGCGGCCTCTGGCTCTCACCCAAACAAAGCGATCAACAAACCTTCAGCAGATTATAAACTCACAAGAGACACAGCTTCCTCAACAGGGCCTTATATCCAGGCTATTTTGTAGGAGTTATAGCAAGCAATGTTTCTGAAGCATGAGAAAAAGTTACCATAAACCCTGTTCTCCTCCTTAATCCCTCCTCCGAAGCGGCTGCTGTTCCAGAAGACGAAGGCTTACCCGTGAGTACGTTCTGAACACAATCATAGTGAGTGAAGCTGTAGGTTGTCTTGGCTGAGGAAGAGGAGTCTTTGGGCAGAGTCTCCCTCAGATGAACCTCGAGGCCGTTCAGAGAAGCCAGACTGCTGTGGTACTGCAGGCAGGGCAAAAAAAGGCAAGTGTTAGAGTAGATGGCCAGCTTTGCCTAGACTTCCAAGGAGGTACCGGAGGGAGCTTGGGTGAGCGAGGTCAACAACAAAGGGACTGGACCCCTCCACGCTCTGCTGCCCAGGCTCCCACCCAGGAACAGCTGGGCAACTTGGGCACAGAGGAAAGCAGACGAGCCTCACAGCTTACAAGTCAGTGAGACGGGGACTCAGAAGAAGGTACTCCAACCTGAAAATAAGCCATTAAACCACCTGATGCTATTAATTACAGGAAAATGCAAGACTCCATTAATTTACCATCAAACATTATTCTCCAGGGCTCATTTTCACGTCCTGGCCATGACTTTCAGCCACAGCAAGGAATATTCCTTTGCTTACCAGCCCTTATTACACCAGACAGACAGTACAACCCAGGATACAGCTTTACACGCTTGGGCTGGATTTAATTGCCTGCAATGTTTCCCGCAGCACCCTTTCAACACACAAGTAAATCTTCTAATGGGCACCCAGCCTCCATGCTGAGCTTCTGGCCAGCTGCAGACTGCAGGCATTGAGCTATCACCAGGAGGAGAAAAAAAAGAAAAAAAAAAAAAAAGGAAAAGCCAAGGAAACAGCCTCACATGTGGGGTAATGACAGGCCCAGCACGGAGCAATGGATTCGCACAACATCATAGTAACAGGAAAGCCAAGCTGCTTTCCTGACTGGACTTTCAGCAGCCCAGCTGCCCTGGCCGTGCTGAGGCTCCCAGGCAGCAGGCAGGGCTAAGGGACCCTCCGGCAGCACTGGGAAGATTAACTCCATAATCCTCCAGCCTGCCCGTGTGCTTTCCTCCACCACAGAGAGGATCAAGCCTCCATTCAGCCATGGCAGCGCCTGGCCTACCCTTGACCCCCCCGGTCACGGAACAGATTTTCTTTTCTGTGCAGTGAAATGAAGGGATAAGACCTAAAGACAGGCAGGAGGCGAGCCTGAAAGCCTCCAAAGCCTCCTGCTCTGCAGGGAAAGCCTGTATGGGAAACCGCCCTCCCAGAGGGATGATCGGTACTGCCTGCTGTTCTCAGCTGCGCAAGTAGCATATTTTACCCTTCTTTGGTGTCATTCAGGGGCCTCAAAGCATTCGACAAACATTAATTATAACTAAGCTTGGACATCCCTGAGAGCTGAGGGTCATTTTTAATCTACAGATAAACAAAGGAACAGACAAGCAGAGATTACGCCTCAAGTCCACCATGACGCCAGCAGCAGAGCCTGGCACTACCTCCTTGAACAATATACTCTTCCTCCTGGGACGACAGGACACGCGGTGCATCTCTCCTAAGAGATAACAAACACCTGCACCTAGAGAAAGGGTGTAGTCAGAAGAACCCAGTCACAGTCAAAATCCAAGCTGTGTGAAAGTACAGTTTTGCTAAGATGAGATCCAAAGCAAGAGTATGTGAAATGGAAGCAGCATGTTTGGGAAAAGAGGAACCTGAACGGAACAGGGCTTTGTCAACCCTGGCGAAATACATAAAGAAAATCAACTGAAATGCGGTGCACCACTGTCAGGCAATTGATCTTGAGACTTAATTGGAACAGGCTGCCCAGGGAAGTGGCTGAGTCACCAGCCCTGGAAGTATTTAAAAGACGCATAGATGAGGCGCTTAGGGACATGGTTTAGTGGGCATGGTGGTGTTGGGTTGACGGTTGGACTCGATGATCTTAGAGGTCTTTTCCAACCTTGATGATTAATGATTCTATGATTAATGAACCGAACAACAAATTGAGCCAGGCTGGGCCCACTGCTGGCCTTGCCCAGGCATTTGATGGGAGGAGGATGTGCAATCTGTCACTAGCAGAGCTAACCCCCGCAACAAGGCATTTCACATGCTAGCTACATCCTTCAGACGCTCCTTCTCATGGCAGGTCAGACATGAAGCAGAGCAGAGGCTGGTTTCCAGCCATGGGTGCCACACAGGCTGCCGGGAACCGCACCGCCTCCGAGCACAGCAGAGCTGCACTGCCAGCTGGCCAGACCAGAGCTGCAACTGGAGGAAACCCAGAGAAGCTAAGGCTACCTGTGCAATGAGAATGACCTTCAGCTCTCGAGAGCATCAGTTCCTACCTGCCTGCATCCCCCTCTCTCCCCGCAACTGGAGAAGACGTGGTAGAGTGGGAGCCGTTGTGCAGTTGCCTGTTTGAAATGGGGGACAGAGCAATGTGCCATGTCTGGTGCAAAAGGCCAAGGCTGCACCTCCTGGCCTCTGCTGATTTTGCAGCAATCCCTTCCTGGGCGCACCAATCCTCAAATGCTGTGTGGAGGTGGCATCCCCCTGCTTCTGGGGCGGAGGGTGGGGGGTCACAGCCACAGCCTCCGAGTCCCAGAGCTCGGAAGTAAAAGGAGTAACCTTGAGGCTCTACTAACGCTGGGAGCCAGTGTTAGTCTGAGCTTCCCTCCACCTTCCAGTCTGACAGTTAAAGAAATTAGGTTGTTCCTATGGCAACTGGCATACCAAACAGGCCTCTGCAGCTTTGACTCAGCTCCCTGGTAGGGAAGCAGAGGCCAGGCAGCAGCTCTGCAGACTAATGCTTCACTGGGAAATGCCGGGGGCCGGCACATCCTTCCCCCGCAGCCCCATTAGCTGCACCGCACTGCCTGGCAGGGAAGCCTGTGCACCGAAGCAAATCCCGCAGCAGAGTAATTTGGGATTGCTCTGGTACAGCACCTATTTGCAGTGCCCAAATGGCACCCTTCGCTCCGGCCCCTGGAGAGCAGCACCAGGGAGAGCAGGCTGGGGACACAGACAGCCAGACTTTCACGTAGAAAGGAAACGCTTCAGGGACTTGCTGCCAGACACGTCTCTGGTGCTTCCAGAGTGAGAAGCTGTGACATGCAAAGCGGAGGTTAAACAGAGAACAAACCTTGCTTTCCAAAAAGCACTACAAAACTGACAGGGTTTCCCAACAAATCCCAAATCCAGCACAGGCCTTTGGCAGCCCGCGGGGCTGTCTGACGGTCACACCTACACGTTCTGCTCTGGTGCTGGCACCGACAGACAACAACAGGCAACAGGAGTTGCCTGTGAGACAACACTCTCACCTCTCAGGCTCGCTGCCTGACATTCGCGAACAACCTCCCACGTAGCTTTGGTTGTGGTGATGAACCCAAAGCCAAATGGCTTTGCCTTGCACAACACAGAGCAGGTGAGGGAAGAGATGGGAAGCGCGATCCAATGCTCGCTCTTCAGTTGTAACCCCCGTCCCCACCACCACCACCAGACAAGCAGCAGCAGTGAGTGTATCTGCAGTGTGGAGGAGCTTTCCCACTTACCACATCTTCAATGGAACTCTGGTCCTCTCGGAGGTGATCTTCAGCCAGCAGGGAGAGCACAAGCCCCTTAACACAGTGAACATACAAGCTCATTTTAACTGGTTTGCACTGTTTGCCTGACTGCACACCAGCCTGGGCGCCCAGACTGTCCACCTGAGGCGGCCAGCCATTCTCCCTGCTCCTGGGACAGTGCATGTTCTCTGCTGGGTCACCGGGCAGACTCTCCTGAACCTCTACAGCTGGCAGCTGACTCCTGCTTTGGAGCTCTGGTTGCACAGCAGTGGCTGGACAATCCAAACCCCACACATTGCCACCAGCTGCACCACTGCTTTCTCCAGAGACACTATTTTGGCTCATAGTCCCTTGCTCGTCTTGTTCACTTGATTTCCTTCTGCTCAACTCTTGGGCAGGAGAGCAAATAGCCAGACTGCCACTGGTTGCAGGATAACTTTGGAAACTGCATTGCTCAACACCATAGTCCACAAGGGATTTCCCCATGCTCTGACTCTCCTGCTCCCGGGCATAAGGGTTCGGAAAGGAAAACCCTTCCAGATACGGACCTGTAGTTTGAGCATATTCAGCAGTATGGAGTGTGAAAGGGCTTGGCAGCTGCTTCGTGTCTCTCTCTAATGGCAAGGATGCTTTTCTACTGAGCTCTGAACTTTTGCTGTCTGGGCTGCTCAGTTTTGCAGTTGGAGAATCCTTTGTACTGGCTTCCATTTCAGGGAAGCCCTTCAAAGGACCTGTGTTTGCAAGGCTGCCTGATTGCCCAGCATCTTCTGATGCAGCTGTGCTTGAAGCTTGCTCAGGGGACTCCTGCACAGAGATATTATTCAGGTCCTGGTTTTCACAAACTCCTGTTGATTCTGCAACTGCCTGGGAGCAGAAAGCATTCTTCTCTCCTCTAGGGCTTGCTGGAGACACTGATGACCTAGAAGGAGATGACAAGTTGATTAAACTACTGAGTAGGATCTGTTTGGAGTTATTACATACCTAATAACACTATCGCCTCCTGGTAGTGTTCAATAGCGGATCTATTCTCTGCTACAAAGAGCATCTACCTCAGAAAAGGATGGGCTAAGGTCTAACACAGGTGAAAAGCACGGGCCTCTTACACTGCAGACTCCTGGGAACGTCACTCCCTTACTTACAAAGCACAAAGGCAGCACTGTGAGCTGAGAAACAACAAAACATCGCAGTTGGCCTCGGGAAACAGTTCTGCTTTAGGCTGCTTCACAACAGGGATATGGACACCACAAATTCTGTCCGGCCTGAAAGACCTTGGGCAGCTTTAACAGCCAGATTACAGAGTTCAAGTTAGTATCAGAGAAAACAGCAATAATGGCTAGCGAGGACACAGCGCCACATGTTAGCTCCTTTGCTGCAAAAGCCTCTCTACGCATCACATAGATTTCCTACCTAGTCATCCACTCCACCGGAAAGTCTCGGAGCACTGAGACTTCATCTTCTGTTAGGAATACCGGGATGATACAGACACCCTGCGGCAATGGAGAATCTGCAAGAGCAATGGAGGTTTGAGGATTAAATTAACATGCCCCAGCATAAAGAACAGAAGCCAGACTCCATCAGCCCAAATGCTTCTGCAGGAGGAGAAGGTGTGCTATCATCCCAAATCCTGGGTCACCACAAACTGACCACATCTGACTAGGCAGCATTTTCCCATCCTCCTCACACACTTAATGCCTGACACAGTTAAACCTTCCCTTAGCATTTTTTTTTCTAACCATCCTGGCAGAATATCTATAAACTGATGCTCTGAAGGTTTGGACTGAAAGCATCAGCCATCTGTTTTCAGGGCTCCATCAGTGGCCAAGTAGGCACATGGATAACTGGAATTAAAGCAGGCATGTTGGGAATCTGCACAACTGACAATTAAACCCAAAAGAGCAAACTCCTTTGCTTAGCCAAAGGAAGGAACTAGTTCTGATTACACAACACCCACTGGCACATGCTGAGTAGTGGCAGCAACACCCTCAGGGATATACTCCTGCATCCAGCAAGAGCTTTGACATGAATCCCAGAGAACCAGCTCATGTTCTCACTGCAGAGAATGCAGGCCCAGAGGGTTGCCCATAAGCTGCTGCTGTGCACTTGGCAACCAGTACTCTGCAGCTGGATGCTCACCAGGCTCCCGCTGCTCCTCACCTCCAGGCTCACTCTGAAAGAAAAGCCAAGAATCAGCTCTGCGGCATGACTCAACACTTGCCATCAGTGCCACCAGGACATCTCTTCCAGCCTCCTCAGCCTCCCTGTGACTACAGCAGACCCCAGACCATCCCCTTCAGCAAATGCTATGACTGGATTACCATGCTGGGCAGTGATTTGTTCCTTAGGTAGACCTCAAAGTCAAGGGGACTTCCCAAGAACCAAAATACACCTGAAAGCAAGGACAAATACCACCATTTGCCACTACCGCCTGCTCAGGGCACAAAAACTTGGTTCACTCAACCGGAGTAAGAGCAGAGTCCTTCTTCATATCTGGATCTTGATGGCTTTTTTGTAAAAGATCTTGAACCACATAAATAATTACTTTTGACAAGTTTTAATGCAAATGAAAATTGACCTGTTTGTCACTTTCAGGCATTCATTGTGTGTATATTTAGCACTGAATACCTAAACTCAGGTAAAAAACTAATCAAAACATCACATAGATGAAAACTCATTAATTCAGCAACTTAAAGACCAAAAAAAAAGCAAATTCCTAGTGCAGAAGTCTTGAAACCTTACTCAATCATAACTAATAAAAGCTTTTAGCATCAGCATCAATATTTGTCCTTCCCAGTAATGGCACACGTAAGATCTACGCGACAAGAGCTCCCACACCGCATCCTTACAAGTGGGTATCTACATGCAGGGAACATGTTTAGCAACATACCTGGCCTGGAGACCCATTGCCTTGGAGGAGAACTTTGGCAGTGAGAGGAGGTGGCAGCTGGGTGCTCACAATCCTAAAAGGACAAAACAAAGTCATCCATGAGCAGAGTGGCATTTCCTGAAGCTCAGCCACAGACTCCCATCACTCCGGGCATCAGGACAGGCAGAGCCAGCAGCAATGCTCGCACTAGACTTTTACTTGTACTCTGAGCAAAACTGACTGCGCCCCATTTCACAGCTGGGTGATCTCTGGGGGAGTCTCGAGGGTTCTGCTGCACCCACCTCTCCCGGTCCTGCCAGACACTCTGCAAGGGTTGAAGGGCCAGCCCCAGACACGGGCTGGAGCTAACACATTGCCAAACAAGAGGAACACAAGCTGTGTGACCATCAGGACTCTCGTTTTCTTCTTTTCTTTGGATCAGTTCCACTCTAAACTCAGGAAAACCACCTGCTGGCATTTACTTTGTGCCAACAAATCTGGTTTTGCTGAGTCAAGACCTAAGACAGACCAATCCATACAGGCTGCCTGCCACCCCATGAAGAGCTGTGGGCAGTGGAGAGGATTCAGAAAGACTAGCACTCAAAGTGCTGCAGCACACGCCCCTTGGACAGGGCTTCCAAAGGTATTCTCAGTCTTTCCATTTATGTCTTGTTGAGATCCACATTCTGGAGATTCTCAAAAAAACTCTAAAGAAGGAGAAGTGTTACTCAGGTACAAAGCCCTTTGCAGCGCTGTAGTGAGATTCAGAGTTCAGAGAACTCTGATGACATTTGGTGAAAAAAAAATCTCTACCAGACAGACCAGCAATACAAGAGACACACACTGGTGATGGGCAGATGCAGGATGAGACTCCATTCTCAAGTCAGACTTTCACTTCCACTGCAACATGCTGCCAGCTTTAAGGTGCTGCCGTGACTCACGCTCAGTATCCTGCTTGCATGTATGAGATCATTCCCTTAAAAATGCCTGGCCTGCCTCTGTCAGACCTGGAAAGATGCACGCATCGTGGCATATTGCCAGTGCTCATAAGAGGTGCTACAGGAACAGTCTATGCCAAAGGAAAAATGTGCTTGAATGTTATTGCCAAGAAATTCTCAGAATCCCCCACCTCCTGTCTTTCAAGGCCACCTTCGAGGCTTTCCCTGATGTCGTTCAGTGCCACACCTGCAGCATCTTCAGCGATGATCGGCTGAAAGAAGGCAGCATTTCTTGCGGGAAATGCTGGCTCGTTCTTCTGCGCACTTTCTACCAGTATGGACAGTGGTCCTGGCCAACAAGTCAGTCAAAAATACATACATACAGACACACACACACGTGCACTGTATTTGCAAGACTGCAAAGAGAACACTAAGGGGAAAGAATAATATTCACACGTCTTTCTTTTCCTTGCTG